CTTTGGAGAACCTCTGGTCCACTACTTATCCCAAGTGTGGAGGACTTTACCAATCGCCGATTGATGTAGTTGTAGATGAGGTATGTACATGACTCCTTCAAGACAAATATCCTTAGATATGTATATGAATATGTTTTGTTTTGGTTTTTTTTCATTTGCAGGTGGTGACAGTTGTATTCGACGCATTGGTGTTTGAAAATACCGCACTACTATATCTAATAGAACTCCACAATAATGGCCGTTATGTAACTGGCCATTTGGTGGGACCACTGTCTAGGCCCGCAGTGCGCATTGGAAGTGGCCCACGATATAAATTCGACCATTTCCGCTTCCATTGGCGTTTTAATGGCGCTCCATCATCGGAGAACTTCATTAATGGCCACCACTATGATGGTGAATTCCATTATGTGTTCATCAACGAAAACTATTTGAACTTCGATGAGGCCAGCAATCATCCTGATGGGCTGTTAATTATTAGTGTTTTATGCATTATAGACGACTCCATCGATGCATCGTTATTGACAGCACTCGTGTCGGCAGTCGAAGCAATTGTGGGCTTTGACACTTATGCATATGCTGTTGACGTTCCACTCTTGGATTTCATTTTGGATCTATTGTCACCCGATTCTAGCCATGCGTACTTTAAATATAGGGGTTCCTTGACAACACCACCATGCTCGGATGCCGATATTATTCTTTTGAAAAATCCAAAACATATTAGTAGATTGGAGTATGAGTTATTCCTACCTTTGCAGGATGAAAATCACCTACCGATTTATACAAATGTACGTCCGTTAAAACCAAAAAACGGACGCGTAATAAACGCAGGTCTCTAAAAGGTTGTGCTGTGTGTGATTAAAGCACATTTTTTTAAATTTTTCTTTGTATTTTATTCTTTCTTTATATATACAACAATTCAAATGTAATCAATATTATATCCGATATTTACTTCAATAAACTGTTATTTTCTTTTTCAAAAACTAACATTCGTTCATTACTCCTCAGCTCTGTCTGTGGTATACTAAAAAGTCAATGCACACGGGCCTAGTTTCTAATCGAAGCGAATGTTATATCGTATTATGAATTCTCATAATGCACCAGTAAGGAGAGGGCCAAGGTGGGATGGGGCTGAATATAAAATATCGACACAACATTAGGAAAGAAATCAGGACACGTGTCATTCTATACCTCATTCGGAAGTAAAGGGTTAATCATTTCGTGGTTTCGAAAGTGTGGGACTAGAACTCGACATCTGTCAAACTAGGTTTCTTTCAACTGAAAATCTGACATTAGCGAAAATGTATTGCTCATCTCACAACGCATAGAAATGATCAACACCTTATACAAAACATTGTGGTTCTGCCACAACCACTTGTCCGTTAGGAGGAGATTATGGGCTATTTTTTATACTATCGACAATAACTCTTAAGTTTCGGAAAAAATCGTATTTATAAATTTTAGATGCGTATTTGTTATTGAGTATCTGCAAATGTCCAATAATTGTCACTTTCATTATACTCAGCAGTTCCATCTGTGTAATTGACCTTAATTTCATTTTAACATTTTGACGCATGTCATTGTTAAAAAACATTTTTGTAATATAAATTATATCAACAATAATAAGAAATTTTGCCGTGGGCCCAAAGTCCCCATTCGTTTTGATATTAAAAACATGTGAACAACAATTTTGGCAGCCTACACAAATTGCTTTGGCAGTTTTGCCCAAGATTTGGGTAAATAGTCGGGTATTTAAGATGTTGAATAACCGATACTCAATAGCCAAATAAATACATACATATGGGTATTTACCCAAATTACGTATCTCTATTAATGGCCCTTGAAACATCCGAAGCCTGTTAGGATGTATCTGTTTAATATACACATAGTGGTGAAGTGTATCATATAGACGTCCCCGTCCGACTTTACTCGGATTTTCTCGGATGCCTTTTTTACTCGAAGTGGGGTAGAAAACTTTATTTCAGCTCCTGCTGTGGTTATCGGTATCGTTATTAAGATTAGTAACGGTATATTTATATTTGGAAATAGATTTTCGTCACGCGGTGACCCACACATTCACATCAGTTTCAACATCCTGCTTACAATTTCGAAAATCTTTTTTATAAAATTATATAATGTTTTAACTATTTTTTCATTTTCCACAAATCTGCTTGCCATATTGACTATTAGTTTGCCGAAATATAGGACAAATAATGTAGTTATAGTCGTGGAAATACCTTATATGTGTACACGTGTTGAGATACGATTATCATTATAGCTGTATGCAATAAACATGGTTTGATCTAACATCCATTACCATCCATTAGAAATAAATCCAAATTATATCTTACCATTTCCCTACTTTTTCTGACAACGATTCTATTATCACTTCTATAGGCTCGTTAAATATTTGTACCCGTCGCACTTCACAACATGAATGTAGTCGTTTGAAAGACTTATTTGCTTCTCGACATATTCTACAAAAAGGAGCAGACCTTTTTGGAGATTTTCGAAAGAATGGGCAAATTGTCAAAATTGTAGAAAATGTACATGGAATTTGACACATCTTGGAAGCTGCAATTAAACTTCTATTTAAAATGTGAGGCGGGCAATGAATGTATACTGCAGAAGGGAATTCCACTTTAATTGTCTGACATGTAAGCGTCATATCCTTAACTTCTCAAAATTGTTGGATCCAATCCCAACCTGATTATTGTGTTTATTATTACGGTTTATTGGATGCCTTGTCGAAAAATCTAATGTATATTGATAGTTGCTCCTTTCTTTCAATATATCGGAAGCTTGCATCGCCATAAGATGGTTTGAAAAATCTTCCATTCTTTCGACTTCGTACAAATCCAATCCCTTGGGGGTATTTGCAGCTTCGTCATTTAACTGATCAACATGACATATAGCATGGTCTGCATCTGTATCAACTTTAACAAAACGAATGTAACGCCCAAAAGTCATCGATTAAAGGTCAACACTAAAAGATATTACTCCGATGAAAACTAAATACGCCGGCATTGTAGTGCTGAGCCCGAGAACCGGGGCAGTCGTCTGTTGATGAGAATCGGGGCAATCATCTGTTGATGATTGCTGAGTCTAGGGGGTTTGCACAACGAGCCCTTGGCTGTGGAAGCAGTTTGTGTAGTTTACTGCCAAATCAAGTGGGATTGAATATCGAGCCATCGGTTACAAGTGGCAATAGCCGAGACGTAGTCGCTGTCTGATCGAGCGAGGTTGAAAATCAATCTCTCGGTTACCAGTGAGTAGTAATCGCTGTTTGACCGAGTGGGGTTGAACGTAACTGTTGTCTTGTAGAGTGGGGGTTGAAAAGCGAGCGAGCCCCCCGACAAAAATAGATAGAAGTAACGTCACTGTCAACGGACTGCACTGCGCCTGCTTCCGCCAAACTTCGCGTACTGTCATAGGGCTGAACTGTGCCTGCTACCAGGGACAGAAATTCCCGGGATTTACCGGTTTTTTGACATATTATTTGACGATATTCTAGCGATTTCCTGATACTATATCCCGGGAAAAATATTTCTAAACTTATACATATATATATAATTAAAAATTTGATACTAAAAGTATAACCAGAACGGATTCGCTGATTTATCCGTCGTATTTATTGTCACCGATAATACAACAACTGCAACGGGACAATATTTGACCATAGAAGATACTCATTTTAAAACTGATTTATATAACAAGTAGCTGGCCCGGCAAACGTTGTCTTGCCTAGCAATATTTTTTATGTCTAATTTTAGGAATTTTATGTTTGTTTTTATACCCTCCAACATACATTTCTACTTCTTATAAGATATTTGGTATTGAAAATGTTCAACAGAATTGCTTCTAATTTAATATTAGGAATAATTATTGAGCAGAAAATCTGGTCCCAATTCAGTACCCTATGCCAAATTTCGTGCAAATCAAAAGATATATAAGGACTTTGAAGGCCCATTTACCTTAAATCGGACGAAAATATATATTTGGGGCTATATATAAATCTAACCCGATTTTCTCGAATCTTGGCACACGTTATTCTTGACCTAATTCAGTACTTTATGCCAAATTTCATGCAAATAGGGACTTGGAAGCCCTATTTACCTTAAATCGGACGAAAATATATGAGCTATATCTATATCTGACCGATTTTCATGAAACATATCACACATCATTCTAAACTTAATTCAATACGATGTGCCAAATTTCATGCAAATCGAAAGGTATATAGGGACTTTAGTGCAACATATACATAAATTCGGACAAAATTATATATGGGAGCTATATCTAAATCTGAACTGATTTTCTCGAAACTTAGCAAAAATCATTCTGGACCTAATTCAGTACTCTATGTCAAATTTCGTGCAAACCGAATGATATATAGGGAATTTGGTGCTTCAATTAACTTAAATCGGACGATACTATATATGGGAGCTATATCTAAATCTGAACCGATTTTCACGAACCTTGGCACACATCATTCTGGACCTAATTCAGTACAATATCAATATTGACCCAAGTATTCAGATAGCTCCCATATAACGGTATCCCTTAATATTCGCCCAAGCTTCCAAATATCCCCCATCCAATAGTACCCCACATTTTTTGATTCTGTCGGGTATTTGGACACGTTTTTAAATCTAATCGGCAGTAATTTGGCATTTGGTTCTTAGTTGGTAGAATGAATCGCACTAAAGTTATCTATATTGGTCCACTCTTTGAGGTAGCTCTCATATAACGGTACTCAAAATATTCGGCATTTTGGTGGTTGTAATTTTTTATTTTGGATGATCAAAACCTCTTTACCAAAAATTAGCAATAGTGGTAAAATTTTCCGTGTAGCCCCATATAATGGTATCCCCCATTGTTTTGTAACAGTGTTGTAACATTGTACCAACATATGAGAAGATATGAACAGTTCGATCTTAACAACATTTTTACATGTTATTAGATCTCCTGACATATTGAGGTATTTGTAATTTTATAGTCACAGGTTCAATACGAATAGGTAACCTCACTTTTTTATATGAACTTTATGATAGAATTTTGCACAGAAAATATCATCGCACATATCGCTCATTTGCTGCAAGACAGGCATAACTCGAAAAAACGATTTTGCAGAAAATGCGTTTTAAGTTTTCAACTTACTCACACTTCATAAAGGACAGAGGAAGTTCTACAGCTTCTCAATTAGAATGTGTAAGAAAGATTCATATGATTTTTTTACACAACATGAGGTCTATTATAGCGAACAATCGTCATTAATTCGAAAATCACGTTTTTTGAGTTATGCCTGTATTGCAGCAAATGAGTGGTGTATTAGTTTTCTCTGCAATACACATTATTAGTATAGTATAGGATATATGCGGTATTGAGTTTATAAGTTCAAAGATTCTAAGCAACGATTAGGGAAATAAAATAACCACCAATTCATTTTTATATATAGAGAAGATAGATATAGATTTATAGATATAGATATATAGATAGATATAGATATATAGATAGATATAGATATATAGATATAGATATATTTAGAAATATTTTCCCGGGAATATCGATGTCAAAAAAAAAATCGGGAAATACCGACCCCAAGTCATAGTAGCAATACGCGAAGGTTGACGGTAGTGGGAAAAAATACCGACCTAGCGCTCAGAAAATAAAAAAAGAACTTGAAGGAAACTTTAAAACATTAAAGCAGTTTTAAAGTAGAGTGTTGAGTGTACATAAGTGCGTATAAAATAATCCTAATTAATAAATTAGAACGGAATAACGGGATATTTAAAATAGATATTTTTCCAATGTTAAAAAAAAAGGTATTTTTTAGCTATAAAATTGCGATGGTCGTGTGCATTCTGTTTTTGGAAAAGATCGGTTAATATTTAGGGGATAAAATGGACCAAAAACTTTATTTTTGTCGGTTTTTCTGGTAGCTCCAGAGGCCGCAATTTTTGAGAAGGGGTTCGAGCCAAAGAATACAAATAGGTCAATATTTAGCGGGTCAAATGGACCCTGATTTTTGTGTGAAAAATTACAAAATTTGTATTCTATAGCGAATATAGACCCAAGAGGTTGACATAGACCCAAGAAGTTGACAATATATCTAAGAGGAGTGGTTGGCCATCAAATTGATACCAATTACATTGTCGTATGTATTCGAATGTGGGAGTTACACTTAAAATTTTCAGGTTCTTACGTCTTCAAATAATATTTAGCAACCCAATACCACCCTAGAGGGCGAAAATATAGCGCTGATCGCTTTGAAATTTCCCATGAGGGACCAGGTATGGTCAATAATAATATTGGGAAGAAGTGGACCGAAAACTTTTTTTTTTTTTTGGTTTTTTTCGAGCCGATCTATAGGCCACAATTGAAATCCGAATATAACAACACACAATTACCCAAGATCAGAATATAGAACTACACAAAGTTAGATTTTCGTGGAAGTTGTGTAGGGTATCATATGGTCGGCCCCGTCCGACTATACTGCTCCGTTCACTGGTTATAGAATTTTGTCCATTTTTGATATATAGTATTGGTATTTAATTAAATGGAATAGTTATATAACCCATAAGTTATTTTAATTTAGGTGTTTCGGACTAAATATATGTAAGGTCCGTTTTTTAAATTCCTTCAATTAAAATAGGGGTTTCGTATGGAGTGCAGACGAGTTCAGATTTGATTTTGTTCTTATTTTTTTTTGTCTGTCTACAACATGGTACTAAATTTTTTCCTGTGACTTCCTGCGACTGTCGGATTTATGGCAGTTTTTTGAAAAAAAATGTCAATTTGGTGTAGGAAGCTTTTTTAAGGTTTTGTTCAAATAAAATTAAAAATTTGTGAATTTTGTTCATATAATTGATCAAATATGACTTGGAATAGATCACAGCATAGCAGATAAGAAAAAAAATTCAAAATGTCCGTCCTAAGAGTAATGGGTGTGAGTATAAAAATGAGGGTATTTAAGTAAGCTGCTCTAAACATTGATTTAAAACTCATGCACTGAATATACATGTATTCCAAATGTCTTTCTAAATAAAAATTGAAATTACAACGAATTCGGTTGTAAGAGTCTTCTCAAATAACGCAGGTAAAGGGCCTACTTAAGAACCCTGAAAAATATCATTGGTGTAACATTCATATATAAAAACCAGTGAGCGGAGCAGTATAGTCGGACGGGGCCGACCATACGATACCCTACACAACTACCACGAACTCTAACTTTCTGAGGATGTTTATTCCGAGTCTGAGTAATATTTTGTGATATTTGCCCCCTCTTGTCCGATTAGAGGTTAACAACACCTCTTCCTTACTATTTTCGAATATTCAGTACAGTCCTTCTAATTACTTGTCCAGATTACCTTCACGGTGGGTTGTGTTGTGATTTTTGGATTATACTCTACTCGAAAACACACAAAAAATTATATTCTCCGTCCATTTCATCCCAAAATTTTAATCTGATCATCACCGAAAATTATAGGCGTTGTTCTTGACCATAACTGGAACCTCATGAACAATTTCAAAGCCATCAGCGCGATATTTCTCCCTCTAATGTGGTAATGGGTTACTAAATAATATCTGAATACGTAAGCACCTGTAAATATTTGACTGTAACTCCCACATCTGAGTAGATACATCACTATATTTGGTATCAATTTAAAGGCCAACCACTCCTCTTGGATATGCTATCAACTCCTGGGGTCTACATCCTCCAGGAGTAAATATATATGCCATAGAATACAAATTTTGTCATTTTTCACACAAAAGTCAGGGTCCATTTGACCCGCTAAATATTGACCGATCTTTATCAAAACACACATGCTTATTCTCTGGCCCGATCCCCTTCTCCATGCAAAAATTCGCGGTGTTTGGTCCATAATTGCGGCCTCTGGAGCGACCAGAAAAACCGACAAAAATTTAGTATTTGGTCCATTTCATCCCCTAAATATTAACCGATCTTTTCCAAAAACAATAGGGGTCTTCATTGGCCAGAACCCATCCTACATGCAAAATTTCGTGAAGATTGGTCCATAACTGTGGCCTGTATCGTGTTTACAAATTATAATGGACAGACGGACGGACGGACGGACGGACGGACGGACACACATGTCTAGATCGACTCAGCTAGTCGAGATATGACGATCGGTATACTTAAAGGTGGGTCTAGGACCAATATTTCGCGGCGTTACAAACATTTGGGGCTGCACAAAGCTATAATACCCTGACAACATAGTTGTGTAGGGTATAAATAGGCGATCCAGACATAGAGGTGGAGCACATCTTCCATTTAACAAAGATCGACGGCAAGGTATTTAGTGCTATATCGAAATCATCTACATCGAAATCATCATTCCAATCATGTGGAATTTTCTGAGTCATTGAAAGAACTTACTGAGGACAAATTTATTCTTTTCGTAGAATTATATCCTAGTTTCTATATGCCATCACGCATACACAAAATATTCAGCTCCATGCTGATATAATTAAATGTGCAGCTTTGCCCATAGGAATCTTGTCTGAAGAAGCCATGGAATTCAGAAATAAGAACTTTCAGAACTACAGGGAACTGTATACCAGAAAAATGAGTCGTGAGGAAACAATGAGGGATCTCTTCAATAGGTTGCTATTTTCTTCAGATCCAAAAATATCAAGTTTGTCTCGTAGTACATCTCATAACCATGGATAATAACAATAGTTTTTGCCCTTAACCCACTTTTTACCCTCCAAATGTTTCGGAATTTTTAAAAGAAGCTCCTATTTTAGGAGTACTATTAGTTATAACAAAAAATGTTGCTTATTAAAAAATGTTGAAAAAGCTTCAAATTTTCACCTAAAAATTTAAGTTTTTTTTCTAAAAAAAATCGGCGCTTAGTGGGTAAATTAAAAAAATCCAAAATTTTTTCATAAAATAATTAAAATTGTCCATCTAAATCTATTATAACCAAAATATCGATAAACATACAGTAAAACATCTACTTTTATTTTCTGCGCGCTAGATCTGGATTTTTCCCACTGTGCGCAGTGCAGCCCGTTGACAGTGACGTTACATCCATCTGTTTTTGTTGAGGGGCTCGCTCGCTTTTCAACCCCCACTCTACAAGACAACAGTTACGTTTAACCACACTCGGCCAAACAGCGATTACTACTCACTGGTAACCGAGAGATTGTTTTTCAACCTCGCTCGATCAGACAGCGACTACGTCTCGGCTATTGCAATCATCAACAGACGACTGCCCCGATTCTCGGGCTCAGCACTACAATGCTGGCGTATTTAGTTTTCATCGGAGTAATATCTTTTAGTGTTAGACCTTGAAATCGATGACTTCTTACACCTACACTATTTCCGGGCTTCTGTTATCAAATCGATTCCAGAAGGACAGTTTTATAATACTTTAAACACGTGAGTAAATACTTGGTTAAATACCCGATTATTTACCCAAATATTTGGCAAAAATGTCAAAGCAACTTGTGTAGGCTGCCAAAATTGTTGGTCACATGTTTTTAATATCAAAACGAATGGGGACTCTGGGTCCACGGCAAAATTTCTTATTATTGTTGATATAATTTATATTAGAAAAATGTTTTTTAACAATGACATGCGTCAAAATTTTAAAATGAAATGAAGGTCAATTACACAGATGGAACTGCTGATTATAATGAAAGTGACAATTATTGGACATTTGCAGATACTCAATAACAAATACGCATCTAAAATTTATAAATACGATTTTTTCCGAAACTTAAGTGTTATTGTCGATAGTATAAAAAATAGCCCATAATCTCCTCCTAACGGACAAGTGGTTGTGGCAGAACCACAAAGTTTTGTATAAGGTGTTGATCATTTCTATTCTATGTCAGATTTTCAGTTGAAAGAAACCTAGTTTGACAGATGTCGAGTTCTAGTCCCACACTTTCGAAACCACGAAATGATTAAACCTTTACTTCCGAATGAGGTATAGAATGACACGTGTCCTGATTTCTTTCCTAATGTTGTGTCGATATTTTATATTCAGCACCATTCCACATTGGCCCTCTCCTTACTGGTGCAGAACCACAAAGTTTTGTATAAGGTGTTGATCCTTTCTATTCTATGTCAGATTTTCAGTTGAAAGAAACCTAGTTTGACAGATGTCGAGTTCTAGTCCCACACTTTCGAAACCACGAAATGATTAACCCTTTACTTCCGAATGAGGTATAGAATGACACGTGTCCTGATTTCTTTCCTAATGTTGTGTCGATATTTTATATTCAGCACCATTCCACATTGGCCCTCTCCTTACTGGTGCCTTATGAGAATTCATAATACGATATACATTAGCTTCGATTAGAAACTAGGCCCGCGTGCATTGACTTCTTAGTATACCAGAGACAGAGCTGAGGAGTAATGAACGAATGTTAGTTTTTGAAAAAGAAAATAACAGTTTATTGAAGTAAATATCGGATATAATATTGATTACATTTGAATTGTTGTATATATAAAGAAAGAACAAAATACAAAGAAAAATTTAAAAAAAATGTGCTTTAATCACTCACACACAACCTTTTAGAGTCCTGCGTTTATTACGCGTCCGTTTTTTGGTTTTAACGGACGTACATTTGTATAAATCGGTGAGTGATTTTCATCCTGCAAAGGTAGGAATAACTCATACTCCAATCTACTAATATGTTTTGGATTTTTCAAAAGAATAATATCGGCATCCGAGCATGGTGGTGTTGTCAAGGAACCCCTATATTTAAAGTACGCATGGCTAGAATCGGGTGACAATAGATCCAAAATGAAATCCAAGAGTGGAACATCAACAGCATATGCATAAGTGTCAAAGCCCACAATTGCTTCGACTGCCGACACGAGTGATGTCAATAACGATGCATCGATGGAGTCGTCTATAATGCATAAAACACTAATAATTAACAGCCCATCAGGATGATTGCTGGCCTCATCGAAGTCCAAATAGTTTTCGTTGATGAACACATAATGGAATTCACCATCATAGTGGTGTCCATTAATGAAGTTCTCCGATGATGGAGCGCCATTAAAACGCCAATGGAAGCGGAAATGGTCGAATTTGTATCGTGGGCCACTTCCAATGCGCACTGCGGGTCTAGACAGTGGTCCCACCAAATGGCCAGTTACATAACGGCCATTATTGTGGAGTTCTATTAGATATAGTAGTGCGGTATTTTCAAACACCAATGCGTCAAATACAACTGTGACCACCTGCAATTGAAAAAAAGAAAACATATTCATATGCATATCTAAGGATATTTGTCTTGAAGGAGTCATGCACATACCTCATCTACAACTACATCAATCGGCGATTGGTAAAGTCCTCCACACTTGGGATAAGTAGTGGGCCAGAGGTTCTCCAAAGGGTAGGTCCATGGATCGGCTAAGAGACACATATGACAGAAGGCACAAGTCTGTTAGTAACACTCAGTTAAATGTTATAGCTAACATCTGCACTTACCGTTAACGCTGCACAGAGCAATCGAGGATAACAATAAAATACTCAAAATACTTTTCATTTTGAGGAAAAGTGTTGTTGTTGTTAGTATTTTTAAGAAGTAGCAAATGAGTTCTGAATACATGTTCCAAAAATGCTGGGGTATTTATACAAAGTTGCTTGCTACCATTAACAGATAAACAAAGACTTAAGAAGTTATCACCAATGCACACCTCCGCATTTTCATATCGGTCTCCGTCGAGAAAGCCAAAGACAAATGACCGGATACGTGGATGTTTACAACTTCAAAATCATTTGGCAAAGGGGTATTGCTATGAATTAAAGAAGGTTGAGGAAAACACGCGTACACATGCACACACACACCCGTACACAAAATATAATGCCTTTCGAAATGTCAACATTTTCACCGTAGGTATTTGTCCTGATAGGCCTGTATATAAAAGTTGGAGCGTGTGATCTTGCAATCATTGAATCGAACATCGGACACGTGTATTGGCTGTGGTGGTTATCGCCAATCGGTCTGAATGACAATTAAACATATACAAGTATGACTTCTTCAGCGAAAAGTAGAAATATTTCATGGGAAATAGAAATACATATTTCAGATGTTAGGTAATTTGTACTAAGATGCAAAATATTTTTTTTTTTAAATATGCATTCCCTATTTATTTAAGTATCCCGATCTGTCTTCCGTGTTAATTCTTAATGAACGGGGTTTAACATAATGAGCTCTATTAATGGCCTCTACAACGACTAGGAAATCTTACAATAAAAAAGTTTTCGGTTCATTGCACCCCCTAAATATCATTTCAACTTCACCGATTTAAATTAAAGGTCAACCACTCATCTTGGATATACTATCAACTTCTCTGGAGTAAATATATACGCCATAAAATACAAATTTTTGTAATTTTTCGATAGTTTTCAATATGTAACAGTCTAGGATTTGTATTAATCTGTGCATGATATTTCAAGGCTCTATCTAATATATTCCTAGCTTTATCATTAGAATATATATAATTTATTGGGTCCTCTACGAATTTTTCGTCTTGCAACAAAAGGAATGCAAAAAGTTGTGTACCTTCTATAGACAAGGTGGGAAAAACAGCAGTACTGATACAAGAACCACATCGATTATGCACTTCAAAATGATAGCGATAACGGTCATTTGTGTTATCTTGCGTCCTAGATAAAAAAATTAAACACGTGTCGTTCGAATACATCGCCAATCTGCACAATATGCTGATAACACAACACAAAATTATGACTTTTACGACTACACGTGTTAGATATGATCGCCCAAATTCATGGATTATACAACGGACACTGACTTGGATCGGTATTAAATTTGAATACCTTACTGTGTCAGAGGGTATTAAGTGATTCTATGTGACATGCGACCGGAGTCAAAAAGGACAAACCTTACTTTGGCGAATATACAGGGTATCCAATATATATATATATATATATATAAAGTTTGAAATGTCATAAAATCTGTTGCTGCAAACACTATGAATTCCAAAGGGAATCATTGATTCGCGCTGCTAATCAAATTTGGGCCCGGGCAACAATTTCACTTACATCCGCTAGGCAGACAATATATATACCCGAGAAGTGGATAGTATATCCAAGAGGAGTGGCTGACTTTAATTCTATACCAATTAAACAAAAATTAAATTAAATTAAAAGACAAAAACACACAAATATAACGAACTTTTTGTATAAGGAACTAAATTGCGTGGTCCCTACTAGTTCGCTATAACCGTATTTTACTATATATATATACATATATTGTTTCTAGAAACTAATGCAGTACACATATAATTTTCACAGAAAATGATTTCGCAGAAATATTCCATTATTAATTCAGCGATTTCTCGAATTATAAGCTGATTTTATGCAACTACATCAGTAGTGACAGTTCAGCACCGAGGAAGGCTGCAAAAGATCTATATGCCCGAAAACTTTCAAAAAGGGATTTTTCTGAAAAGAATTGCAAAGCCAGATTGGTTTTCCCAAAAACCTTCTCTTAAGTTGTTACAATCTTTCAAGTCGCTATTTTTGGGTAAATTCACAACAATGCCTTTCTTACAAGTTGGAAGCAGTCTCTCTTCCTACCAAGCTGAAATCATGTGAGGTCGAAATAAATCAGCTGCGGTTCCGCCATTGGCTTTTAGCACATCTCCTGCTGCTTTGTTCAATTATTTTATTATCTCTTTTATTTCATTCAGGCCATTGTTCGTTATTTTCAGTGGTGTTTCTGACGTTACTGATTTCTTCGAAATGCTCTCTCCATCTCTGAGTTTGTCATCATTGTTTCTTAGTAGCCTACCATTACGATCTTCAATTGCTTGGCCCCTGGTACACCTTCTAATTGTGAGGCAATCTATTGTTCGGTGTAGCTTTCTCGTGTTATTCTGGCTAGCCGTTTTTGCCAGATTTTTTAGGAACTTTCCTTTATCATTCCTTGCTGCTTTCTTCACTTGTTTTAATAGTAGTTAATACTACCTCTTTCAGAAATTCGGTTCCAAATGTCGTCTGATGGTGATATGTCAATGTGATGTCTTCCCATGTACGATGTGGGTTTCTTAGTAACTTTTCGCGTATAACCGTAGCTAGGGCGATTCTTGCAGTTTTGCTTTGGAGGCGTGCGTACTCTTTTATTTCTGACATGTGACTGGGAGCTTTCATCAGTACTATGGTGACATGTCTTACATTTCTCTTGAATGGAGCCACCATCACACGGCCAACGACTTCTTAGAGTTTTCGACCGAAATTCTGATCCCAACATAGTTGTAATTTTCTGTTGGAAGTTCATCGCTTTTATGCTATCTAATTTCGCTTATACCTAAGACTTCGATCTTCTACGATGCCATATGCTGTTCCAGCTGTGCGAGTCTCGATGCTTCATGAAGGGTCCATTGCGCAATGCACGGCCTATTTCGTGTGCCAAGGGTCATTGCCATAAGATCCTCTTGTTGTTAATTTAGCATTACTTCTGCTTCGTTAGGCGTTTCTGTATTTCACCTAAGCAGATAATTGTGCA